AAGGGGGGGGGGGGTCATCTCGAGATGACGAAGATTCTTCTCAGTTTTGGAGCAAACATTTACGCCCGTGACAAGTTCGGTTTCACACCAAGACATTTAGCCGTTAGGAAACGCCATGAGAAAATTATGGAGTTTCTTGCTGTTGTGAGTGTCACGAGACGTTATAAATTTGCCACTTCGTAAGGTAAAGGGCTCGTAATTTATTTACAAATTTATCCTGAAATTAACCCAAAGCTTCAATATTTCCACATACACTGTTCAGTTAGCCGATACAATCGTGTGTAAACAAACGTCTTGATAGAATCATTAAGTTTCTGGGTGATGAGCGTCATAGAACGTCCCAAGCCAAGTTCTTTTCAAGGTTATGAAAAGAAAAATAATTCTTTAATATTACTCCAAAATATAATTGCCACAATTACAATTATTTAGGTTTTATTTCTCTCGAACCTTTCATTGACCTCTTAAGTTCTACGATCAAGATATCTCCCAAATAACTGTTGTTCAGAACAATCGGTTAATGTTATAAACTAATTTATTTTCTCTGTATATCCATTATTTAATAATGTGGATTAATATAAATTCATATCCTCTCCTTTAGAAATTATAAGTGTTTGTGGTGAGTTTTAGCACATATAAAGATATTAATTAGTTTCTTTCCTATAAAATTTAACACAGAGAGAACTAATACGTATGTCAAAACATGCACTTTGCCAGACTTAACAGTTAGGCCTAAAGCGACATATTTATGTAATTTAACCACTGCAAATTTTACCAAACTTAACATATCAACATAAACGGGCTATTTTACAAAATAAAATTAAGCATGGGAAGGGTTAAAGTTCAAATCAGATTTATATATTTTTCTTTATTTTGAGGAGACATTAATAGCTAGAAAAACAGTTACAAAAGCAATTATTATTATTATTATTATTATTTGGCTCATTTGCTTATTGATTATTTTGCAATAAATTAACATTGTACATTTGTATATTTAGTTTATTGTTTGTTTGTTTGTTTTTGTGTTGTAATGTTTGTATTGTTAGTGCTTGGCTGTTATTGGCCTTTTTGGCTGTTGTTAAGCACTGTAATAAATGAATTGAATTGAATTATTATAGTGCTAATTTATAACTATGCTACACAAATTGTTCCAGAGTGTATGTGATGTAAGACAATATTAAATAGTTCTTGCAAAAATGTACAATTTCTCTTAATACTACTGTTATTGCTACAGTTGTTCGCAGTCTGCAGTTATTACATTTACGAACTCCTAAATATGGAGGCGATGGGAAATTAATTAGCTGTAGGGATGAATTTAAGAATTTATAATGGAAGCTCAGACGGAACATTCAGCTTGAAAAGTATCCGCGTCGAATGTTGAAAATTATTTAATGTTTCGACATTAAACGTTGCAGTTGGTATCTCCGTGGTATGTGATAGTTGGGCGTTTTTGCAAGCCTTATATGGGGCAGGCAGTAACTGGCGATTTCGATTTGATGGCATAGAAGAGTGGACTGCCCGCTATTTCGCTCTATCATTCAGCATCTATATTCACCCTTAAGATGGCAACTGAAATATTTGCCGAAACGATGGATAATTTTCAACATTTCGCGCGGCTGATCCTCGGAAGCCGAATGTGTACGTTGAACTCCAGCCGCGGAAATCCAAGGACAGTGAGATAATGAATATATGATCTCATTTCTGGTCTATACAGATTTAATGCTAATAAATTAATTGACAGATGTTACGTTTAACACTACTACACTCATTTTCTGTTGATACTAGCATAGGTATTACAAATTTGTTTATATGCATTATTTCCTATAAAGATTTTAAACAAATGCTTCACTGCTCAATATTGACACCAAATTATAGCTCGTGTTCACAGAAAAATCCCCTGGCAATTGAACACGTACCGATCTCTATTTTATGGTTCTTCTGTACAAAGAGACCACAATTATAACGAATATCATTTTCTGTAGAGTCCCAATTATCATAACCAGTTGATGCCAGAGATTTATCTGTAAAGAGAAAAATATACTTTGATTACTACCATTTCATTTAAGGGTGAATGCATGCAATACATCATTTTCGTTGGAAAATCTGAAGGGAACGAACTATTATTAAAACCTATGAGTACTGCGAGAATTTTTTAAAACGGAACGAAAAGAAGTAGATCGGAGAGTGTGGACAGAATTTATCTGTCTTAAGATAGGAGCCAGTGGCGGGCTGTCGTTAACAGTTTTGAATACTCATTTTCCATAAAAGGTGATAATTTCTTGGTCAGCTGAGCAGATGTTAATTTCTCAATAAGGACTCCTCTGTGGAGTGTGTTGCATTTAAAGGTTAAATTCTTAGCAGGAGCGCGTGTTTTTTTATATTCTAAGGAATTATTATGACGTATTGTTAGTTTTTCAATTGCAATACTTTATATTCACGGATATATTTGTGAATGGTAACGTGAAATAATGGTTATAAATGTGATGTGTAAATGGGCAAGGTTTCTTCTCCGTGAATATTGATTTATTCACTTTGAATTGCTTGCATTAGTTGTTGTCTACTTTAAGGTACAGGTAGGCCCCGATTTATGCCTCCTCAGGGTCGTTATTTGAAGCGGCGTAAAGCGGGTCCTACCTGTACTTTTATTTTTATGAGGAACCTCATAATTCATTTCGGACTCAAACAATTTTAGGGTAATCAAATAAAGGTGGATGGGATGGACAGGACATGTGGCTCGCATGGGAAAGATGAGAAATTCACACAAACTTTTAGTCTCAAAACGTGAATGTAAGAGACCACTTGAGAGACCTAGTCAAAAATAGGATAGTATTAAATATGTATCCAAACAAATAGGATATGAGGGTGTAGACTGGTAACTAAATGAAGCGACCAATGGCGGGTTCATGCGGACATGACAATCAACTTACAGGTTCCATAAAAGCTGGAGAATTTTTTACAAGCTAAGTTACTGTTAGTTTCTCAAGAAGAATTATACTCCATGGAAGACGACTGCCTCCTGGGTTGAGGGGCTGTGTAGTCTGGTATAAGTATCGCCCTGATGATGGAGGCAGCAAGGACCTGCGAAGCTCTGGTAAACTTGTTCCAGACTGCACGCCGCTACAACCCAGAAGACAGCCATCTTCGGACTCACAGCCGTGAAAACCTCAAATCCTGCTACTCCTTGGATTTCGAGATTCTTGTCAAAAACAAAATACCTACTGAAAATAGTAACAACTTCTCCTTCATTGCCAAGGTCATGGAAACCAATGAAAGCGTAGTAGGTGTTTCTAGCAAGAAATGCAGGGTACTCTTTCCAAAGTCGTGCCATATTCTTTGCTTCATATTCAGAGTCGATGACCAAGAGATGTGCCCCTTCTTCTTCGCAGGTCTTACGAGCCTCTTGCCATGACTTTCCAACAATATGCAGCTTGTAGTATCCCAGTCCAGGCACCAACTCATATCCAGGTAAAGAAAGAGCTCTCACATTAGGGGCTGGTTCTGTCAGAAAATAAAATTTTATATTTACTCCATCTTCTTATAAGCAATGAACTTAATTTTGTTCTAGAGATAATGAAATTAATATAATATTGTATTAAATGTAAGTAAACGAGGGTGTGAACTGGATTCATCTGACTCAAAAAAGTGTCCAGTGGCGGGCTCTTATGAACGCAATGAATCATTAGTTTCATAAAAACGGGGAATTATTTGATTGCATGAGTGGCTGTTAGTTTGCAAGGACTCTGCTGCACAGAATTAATAAATATCATATTAAAACAAGTAACTCGTGCACATGCTTCAGTAATATTAAAAATACGTCAAGAATTTCAGTTCTGCTGTAAACCAAGTGAACTATAGACACTAGGAAGTGAAGTCACCTGTTACACTGGCATCTATGAGGATCGATTCAGAGTCCCCACATATGGATGTTGTGTGGTTGATGTCTGCCTTCCAGTGACCCACGTCTTTGGGTCCAGCTTCATGCGCCAGCTGAAACTACAAGAATAAAGAGAACATACTTCAAAATTAATTGATACTAAAGTTCTTTCAACGAGCACAGCAGATCTTCAATTAAAATAACAGCATTATAATTTTCCAAAGGCAGCTTATAACTAAATTAACAGCATAAAATACGGGCTTATGACTCGTTAAGTTTTACAGTTTCTATTTTAAATTTTTTTTTCAGTTTTGTATCTAGATCTATTTTGCAAACCGCAATGCGATTAGCTATGCAAGAATAGGTTGTATTTGTTCTGTAAATTATATAGAGTTCAGTGAGGTATATAAACTTACAGAATGCGTTTTAAAAACGTGTAGGCTTCTCCAAATTTAAGTGAACATTTTCATCCTTGTCAGATATTGAATTGTATTTTAATAGGATTTTCTCGCTCTTTCATTCCTCGGCTAATAACTACAAATTTAAATGTTAAAATACTATAATTCTATCTGTTCTGACTATTTTTTGCCGAAAGAACTTTGACTAAATGATGTTTGAGAATAGGGTGACCACGACATGGGAAGGGTGAGGAAAGCTTATGTACGCGAAGTTTTGTCTGGAAAAACTGACCGGAAAAACAAGTTGGAAGACCTAGGCGTAATTATGAAGATAATATTAAATGGACGGTAGAAAACTGGATGGGAAGGTATTGTCTGGATTAATTGAGCCAGGGCAGGGGCGAATGGCAAGAGCGCTTGTAAACTCTATAATAAACCTTCGAATTCAATAAAAGGCAAGATTAAGAATTGAATTATTCTGCTCCATTTATTAGGTTTACTTTCATTATTTTTTGTCGAGTTTACCGTTCTGTGTTCTGGCTTTCAATTTTTACTTGAACTATTAAATGTAAATTTTAACTTACAAAGTACGGAGTTGTATATGTAGACCAGAACTTAACCTTTTTTCCTTACCTGAGCAGTCCATTGTCCTGTTTGATTACGTCGACTTACGATGGTAAACTTAATTTTTTTGGATTGTGGGTAAGTGCACTGTAGTCCGATGCAGGCACCGAAGCAACATAACACACAGCATATTATGACACACCAGTACATCTTCTGAGAACTCTTCATGTAGCAGGCCCGTTTCTATAGAAACATAATTATATATACCTGATCTGGATATCCGGATTATGGATAAATGAAACTAATTTAGTCTTAAGTACTATCAAGTGTTTCTATGAACAGATTTGCATTTAGTTGTGTTAATAATTAATGATGAGTAACGTAGTATCGACAAACCACTTCTGTATCATCTGCCTAGAAAACATGTGAACAGGTCCCTATCATCACTTAAGAGGATGAAGGTATCTTGTACATAATGTCACTAGGGGTCGACTCCGACCCGACGGTACAAACAAAATTAGTATCACGTGTTGGTTATTCTGAGGTTATTAGTGATTTTATTCTGTCAGTATATGTGAATGTCACAAGATTATTTATTCTTTGGATCATGAACATTGTCCTGTATGCCTTCTTGACTAGTTAACAGCTAACTGTAATCAATTTTGGTACGCCCGTAATAAAAAAATATAAAATGCGCCTTTTAATTTCGCTATGTGTGTCTGTCATTATGCACGTAACAACTCACTTATTTTCATTAAATTTGATGTTAAGAAGTTTTGCTGATATTTGTTGATATTTTCAATTTTAGCTAAAGTCGGACAACAAAAATAGACACATGATACACTTTGTACGAAGACACATACGGTTCTACGCGCATCTCGAGTATAACTTGCAAAATATTTATCGGGGTGGAAAATGTTTTAGATAAAAGAAATTGTAGAGGAAAATGAAACAAACGTTTTACGTCCAATATATTATTTTAGCAAGTCATTCGGTTTTTCGGGACAATTGAAAAAAGAGGATTTTAATGCTGTGTTCTCATAACTCGAAGACCGTTGGACTGATTTTTATTACATTTTTTGACGTAAATACGTCTATACGGAAGGGTCATTCGGCAAAACAGCGTTAGGAAAATGTGTAAGATCCATATCAACAATGTGTAAATATGGACCGACAATGGTCAGCTTTTGTATGAAATCCTGCGTGCATAACAATGTTTTACTCCGTTACCTTAGAAACTAATTGTTATGTCATCTGTTTATTCGGCATTGTTGTGTTTCATTACTGCCGTCAACAATCCGCTTTCGTTATTGTGGAAAGAGCCGAGCTGTGAATCGCTTGTAGAAGAAGTGCGTCGTAGATAATTTTGTGCTGGTAAAAACGTTTTAGAATATCACAGGTACTTATCTTATATAAGAATTATTAAGAAATCTGTGATACTGCCCTCCACTCTCTCCATTTTAGTTTTGATCGAATTGGTCATTGCGGGTGGACATCGTGGTCGCTTACAATTGAACAAAGTTTGAGGTAAGGGATTCCTATTCATTGTTATTGTTCATCACGTTAAGCGTTAAGCGCCCGCCTCTCGAAAACCGTAAGAGATAGATCCAGACATATTGCGTACAAAATACGTATTACCTCTTGAGCTTTCCATATCTGTTTTTAGATTTTATATACCGCAAATGGTTTAGGTTCTACAAACATTTATTTTTACAAATAAAGGCGCATCGCACTTCACGCTACTGTTGCATTTGTGTGTTGCGTCATACTATGTAGAGATAACAAGATGGATGACATTGTAGCTAAAAGAGTCCGATGATGATAATAGTTTAAATACAAGGACGTATTTACGTCAGATTCTCCGGAACCGTGGTTCCACTGTCATGTTTTCTACAACCTTATTCTTTCGCCAGTTAAACGCTATTTATAGGGCAGTAGGGCGGTGTCCGAATTTGTGACTTGTGTTGGACAAGGCCGTGGGCTAGGCA